TGGGTGGTGGGGGCCATGGGGGGAAGGGGAACATCTGTAATACTGTCAACAATAAAGATACTTTAATGTATGTTCCTTGCTATTCAAAGTAAATTCTTGATGTAATTTGTTTTTTTCTGTGACTTACATCTTTCCTTAAAAATGGGACAGTGGAGGAAAAACTGGGCTGGATTTTAAATTCTGACCAAGCACAGCCCATTTATATTTATTTATTTATTGTTAATCCCTCACCTGAGGCTATTTTTTCCATTGATTTTTAGAGAGAGTGGAAGGACCGGAGGGAGGGAGGGAGACACAGAGGAAGAAACATTGATGTGAAGAGACACATCGATCGATTGCCTCCTGAGTGCACCCCAACCCGGGCTGGGGATCGAACCTGCAACCCAGCTACGTGCCCTTGACGTGGAGTCAAACCCACGACCCTTTGGTGTGAGGGCCGATGCTCTGACCACTGAGTCACTCTGGCCAGGGCAAAGCCCGTTTATTATAGATTCAAAGTCACTTATTCTGCAAAATATTAATATTTTTATATATTAATAGAATATAATTTAGTTTTAAAACCAGGTGTATCCCGCATTCCAGCTGCTACCTGCCTTCCCTCCACTCGAAAAGACAAAAGGAAGTCAGGGAGAAAGCAGCGTTAAGCTTTACGCTGGTCCTGCTCTGGCAGGTCGGGAGGGCGATGGCTCTTTGTCCGCTGTGGTCAGGGCTGCCCTCCCTGGTGCGTGGCACCTGACGGGCCCCTGGCCTCCCTCCAGGACCGTCCCTCGCTGTTCCCCAGAACTTAGCCCATAGGAGTCCCCTATCATTTGAAATTTCCTTTAAGCCCCTCGGTAATGATAATTCCTACTTGAGCAGCCCGGCTGTGGGGGGTTGAAATGTATTTTCATGTGTAGACGTGGTGGGAGCTCAGAAAAATTTAAAAGGAAACCGTAAAAGGATTTCTAGAAAAAGACAAAAACATCCCCCCCCCCATTTTTCCCCTTTCAAATGACGCAGGCCTCGGGGCGCCCTGCGCACCGCGAGGCCCTCGCGTCCCCCGGAGGCTGCAGGGGAGAGTGGCTGTGGAGCAGAGAAGCTGCTCCCCGGAGGCTGCGTTCCCCGCCCGTCTGCACGCGGGAGGCTCGCCGGCTGCGCTGTGGGCTCACAAACCTCTCCCGTGACTCAGCTCATGGAAAACAAGTTTACGTAACACATGTGCCGCCCCAGCCTCTGCCCACAGCTGCTGACACAAGTAAATAACCCGAGAACCCAGGCACCAGCCGTCCCCTTGCCCGTCGCCTCAGGCGGGTGGGAGATTTTCGTGGGTCAGATGAAGGAGAAACATAAGACTGAATGTGTAATTCCAAACACGGGGCATCTTTCTTTTTTAACTATTTTTAAAAATTGATTTTTAGAGAGAGGAAGGGAGCGGGAGAGGGAGAAGCTTCGACCGGCTGCCTCCTGCCCGGCCCCCACTGGAGGTCGAGCCCACAGCCCGGGCACCTGCCCTGAGCGGGGATGGAACCAGCGACCTTTTTGGTGCCTGGGACGAAGTCCAACCCACTGAGCCACACTGGCCAGAGGGGAGCGGGTGGGAAACGGGGTGAAGAGGGATTAAGGGGTATGAATTGGCGGTTACAGAACAGTCGTGGGGCGTAAAGCACAGCACAGGGAGCGCAGTCGGTAATATCGTAATAACTGTGGATGGTGCCAGGTGGGGACTGGAAGCATCGACGGGAGCACTTTGTAAAGTATGTGATTCTCTAACCACCATGCTCTGCACCTGAAAATAATACAAAATAATTCTGAATATAAACTGTAATTAAAAATGAAAGCACTAACCATAAAAGGGTATTTAAATACTGCTTTGAAAAGCGATCGTTTTAGATAAATTAAGACCATGTATGTTTCTAAAAGGAATAAAAAGTGGTATTTTAAAAACCCCCACAAAAGTGCAGAAAAGAAAGTCATGGGAACAGAAGCTGGAGCTACACTTGGGACCCTTCATCGTCTGAAACACTTTCCCTCCCGAAAGAGCATTCAGCTGAAGATCGAAGGACAAAACAGGTCTAAGGACATAAAGGGAAAAACTGTCCAGAGAGGCGACGAAGGAGCCAACAGGAAACAACAGAAGCTGCAAGAACGTTCGGCGGCAGGAGCCGGTTCCCCAATCCGGCCTCACGCCTCTCGGGCTTCACCCGTCCCCCTCTGCAGGCAGCCCCAGCTCGACGGCCTGCGCGGCCTGCGTGGTTCCCCCGACGCGCAGCCCACAGGGACCCTCTGAGGCCTGCACTTCCTGAGCATGGGCGGGCTCTGGAGACGAATGGATTGGCCACGACTCCTGGGAAGGGCCCGTGTTGGGGGTGAGCCTTGCTGGCTGCCGCGACAGGAGTCACCAGCTGTCTTCAGAGGATGGTCTTTCTCAGGTCGTGTCCTGTCACACGTCCAGGGAGATGAGCCATGGGCCCGTCCCAGCAGAATCCTCACAGCGCTCAGTGGGACAGCGCCCGGTTGGGTT